TCTGTCCCCTACCAAACTTGAAAAAGAAATCCTGATTTTATAAACTTAAATTGAATTTAATATCACATTAACACAGAAAGTGAAAGTATGATATTAATTTCTAACACTTGATACTTTATCTTAAATATAATAAAAAAGTTATATATCAACCGCATTATTTATGCATCGATTTGAAAAAACTGTAATTACGTTGTGAAATTGAGAAAAACATATAAATAAGAGGGAAATTTGACTTCACGTGGGAGATTTGGTAAGATTGAGTAAGAGATTTGAATAATTGAATTTAATATAATAGAATGAAGAAATGTTATAAGCATCCCAGAAATTGATGCAGAAGAGGGTGTCAAGGCACGTGTTTGTCCATGAAATTGTGCCGTAGTTATGGCAAAACAGGGAAATACTGTGAGACAAGGCTGATTGGGTGTTACAGTATATATAATGTGCTATTGTACTGCAACTTAATCACACCATGATACCCCATATCTTTTCACATTGCACACTGCTAAAAGACAAAATCTTTTTCAGTGAGACCGAAAAACCTTTTTCTGGGACGACGATTACATATAAATATATCTTTCGGACATTGTTTAAACAAAGTACCAAAACTGTTCTTAAATTTCTCCCTGCATCCATGTGCCACTGTCATCAGGTAAAATAAAACCGATATGTAAAGGCCTTTCCTTTAGTTATTCTTTTAATATCTGTTGTCTATGTTTGATCATTAATCGCGCTGGCAAAAGGTAAAAACAAATATACTTGCTTACACCTGTCTCGTTGGGTCGTGTATTCTGTCACTCAAATTATTTAAAGCTTCCTTATGTAATTATTATATTAAACTAAAGGATTATGAATAGTTAACAAACTTTTTTTAATAATTTTTGACAATAAATTATAAATTATTAATCTGTATATTTTAAATACATCTATCACGAGTTACCACGGTGGTTGTAAGAAAATTATAAAAAGAAATTGTTAAAAAATATTTATTAAAACTAAAATCACTGAATAAAGTGTTAAGATATTTTATGACGTGTTCTATAACAGCTGTTATTGTTTCATTTAAGTTGTTTCCTTTCCTATATTTTAGGAGTCAGTTTCATATATTAAGGTTTTCTTTCTCTTTATTTTATTTGATTTATTTTTATTTGGGGGTGTGAGATTAGGAAATTACAGTCAAAATATTTATTTACATTTTTTTTAAGTCTTTTCAAATTATTTCCGTTACAAAGTGTTTTTAAATTTTTATATTTAATTTTAAATCGGTGCATATACATGTAAAAGATATTCTAACACTCAAATTAAATGATCAATTAATTATTATAATAAGATTTTAAAGTCACAATAATTATAATTATTTATTTCTTTATTTTGTATTTATATTTATAAATTTTGATATGAATTTATAATTAGTATACAATGATCATAATTTACTAATTACTCTTTATTTATAAATTTGATTATAAATAATACTTGAGACTTTTTAAGCTTTGTGATAGTTTGATCATCTTAAAAGTATAACCAATTGATCGTCAATACAATTTTATTTTATTTAAAGAGAGAAAAATACGGTATCATAAAACTTTAATTCAATGTTATAAAAATATTTATCAGAAAGATGAGATTATAAACTTTCATTTAACTATTTTATAAGTATATTTTCCGTCATGGATAATTAACCTATAAAAGGAATTGTTGTATTAATGAATACGAGCACAAAACTAATTTTAATATTTTTTAACTTTCACTAATGAAAGTAGTTTTTTTTTTCTTTTTAGTCCAGTTGTTTGCTTTTTGGAGGTAATTTTAATTATTTGTATTGCAGACATAATGAGTGGGACCATTATTTATTTAGTGATGGAAAATTTGGGATCCGTAAAGGACAACCTACCCTACCTGCGTCATTTTCTTCGTTTTCTGTTTCTTCTCGACGCCAAAGTCTTCTTACAATTACCATAACAGCAAAAATAACAGGAGCAAGAACATTCACAATTTAGAAAAAACATTTTGAACAATATTTTGTTAAAATTAGTTTACATTTATTTATTTATTTTCTTTAAACATAATATTTAAATAATATAGGGTTAAATATATATATATATATATATATATATATATATATATATATATATATATATATATATATATATATATATATATACTCTCTAAACTTATACGTGTAATTTATCTTTATATTAAACTTTAATATATTTTGTTTTCAAAATTTAAAAATAAATATATTTAATTTTTAATTTTTTTAGCTAAAAGTATTAAATAATATAAAAAATTCAAATATATTTATTACACTTAAATTAAGTAGACTATATATATTTATTATGAATCAAATTATATAAAAATTTGAGATAAAACCAATTTTAATTTCACATCAAGATGAAAATTCACTGCTTGTACTAATAACTATATATTATTCTTATACAAGATGAATAAATATAAGATGAAAATTCTTATATTAAAACTCAATACTTACATGAAAATTCACTGCTTGTACTAATAACACTTACTTAAGGTGCCAAAAAGAAGAAGAAACAAGTTCAAATAAAAAAGTATAAGAATATGAAGTATTATTATTATTACATTAAACTTTGATGAATACAATAAGACAGTAAAAATAACTTTTATAACGTCCAAGAATCAATAAGGTGCATTAAAAAAATGACAGCACAAATATTGATAAAGACACAAAAAATTGACAGCATAAATATTGATTAGACAAAAGTATTTTTAATGTAAGAGAATTTTTTTTAAAGTAAAATGATCTATAGGGATAATCAATCAAAATTTACAAGGATAACACATAAATACAAATAATTAAAATACTAACAGTAATTTTAATTAAGCTCTTCTACAAAAATGAAAACTCACTTTTTTTGTCATATCTATTATTTTTCTTCTAAAACTCTTTCTTGACTGATAAAACACTTTTTTTTTTCATTTAAATTAAGTGAGATTTAATAAAAAAAATATAGTTGATAAACCAACTAAAAAATTATTATTAATTATTTGATGAGATAAGTTAACAAGAATATTAGAAAAGTACATCACTGTGGTGTCATCGAGAGTTTACTTTCCCACACTCAAGGGAATTTATTATAACTAATGAGATTTTGTAGTGTTGTAACATATGAATACAACATGATAATCACGAGAAACTAGCTGTTAAAGGACATGTTCTCTTGTGTAAACAATTGTACAAATAATTGTTAGATATGAGATCTAATATTTAGATAGATTGGATTTTTCTTTCACCGGTTAATACTATTCTTATTATTTTTTACTCTCCCGTTGTGACTGTAATTTAAGATTCTTCAGCCAAATAAATAAATATATTTTTTGAATTTTTTATTAAAATATCTGAATTCTACGGATATTACTTTTAGGTAGAAAGATTAGTACTGTTTGAGAATTAATTTCACGATGAGGACTTTCTGCTCTCTGATTTCTGAAAGTGACCCCACATGCCATTTACATTCATGAAACCCAACCTAGCTAGCTAACTACAACCTTTATTTATTGCGCCTTTCATTTACATTAATTAACATTTGAATTAAAAAATTAACACCCAAATTAGTAGTTTTTTCTTTCTGAAAATTGTACTAACTATTTTTGTGTCATATTCAATATTTTGTTTGTTTCGTATATAAAAAATAAATAATCCATTTTTTTTCATGATTTTTTTTTCTTAATTGTATGTGATTTATAAGAGATTGGAAGATGTTGAAAATTAAGAAATCAATTTAACCAGACAAATTAACGATAAACCATTTTCTCATAGTCTCCTTTATTGAGTAATGACGTTGTTCCCAAGTTTCTGGATTGCTGAATTTCATATATCAATCATTGTCGTAGTTACTATCTATATAATGGGACCACGATCAATTTATTGGGCTTGTGAGTTGCGTGCATTGTAGGATCCAGCCCATTAAGGGTTATTTGAAAACAACATTTTTTACAAACTTTTGGATTATGCTGTTCAATTTTTTATATATATTTTATTGAACATATTTCATTAATTTTAGCTGTTTTAAAATTTCAAATAATACCATTATGATTTTAATATATTTTTTTCATTTTTAATTTCTTAAATAATATAACAAGTATAGTATTCATTTTATCAACGTTATTTTGCGCTTTGTTTTATTATTGATGTACGATTATCCGTCAACGTTGTGGTAGAAGGATTTCTTTATTATACAAAAATTTCAGAATATTGATAATAAATTAAAAGAAGTAAAGAATAATAATATCTTATTGTAATGCATTAATTGTTTGTTTGGATTGTATCATTAAATTAAAAGTAAAAGAATGCAAAATAAAAAAATGAAAAAAATTTAAGTTGAAATTAATATTTTTGTTTTATTATAACAAGTGAAAACACGTGAGAGTGTTAGTGCATTTATTTATTTTATTTTCAAAAACTAATAAAATAATAATAATAACTATTTTTTATTATTATAATCATGAAATCAAAAATGAAATTTTATTATAATTTTATTATAAATACTTTTTATTCATTTTATAAGTATATTTATAATTAAAATATGGTTAAGTTTAAAAAAGTCAATTAAAAATAGTTAAATTTAAAGAAATGATAAAATTAATAAAATCAATATTTTAATTTAGAAAATATATTTAAAAAATAAATGTAAAAATTAAATATGAACACCTGAAAATAAAAAACTTATATATATATATATATATATATATATATATATATATATTTATTTATTTATTTATGAACTATTTTCACTTATTAAAATTTCACAACTTTATCTTCAAATTTTTGTAAAAAAGGAACTTCAAGTAGAAACTCTAAATAATAATATGCGAACATAAATACGAATAAAAATAATCAGTAATATTATTATTTATTTTGAAAAAATTCTTTACAACTTTACTTTCCCTTGTAAATCAGAATTTGTAACTCTAAACACGGATAAATTAAAAGTAACGATGACCTAAACAATATATCTGTTATCCAGTCTTAATATACCTCGGTTTGAACTTGGCACGCTTCACTCCCACTGCAACCTCGACCATGATTAACAATGGAGTCTGCACTCTCCGCACTTGCTTCCGTTTTCCGGGGAGGTCGCTATTCCCACCATTGCAGCGCTCGTTCACTTTCCGGCGGCGGTTTCTGGTGACTGCATCCCAAAGGAAGAAGAAAGAGAAGGTTATTGTCATTTCTGGACCCACCGGTTCGGGCAAGAGCCGCCTCGCATTGGAACTCGCTAAGAGCCTCAACGGCGAAATCGTCAGTGCAGACTCTGTCCAGGTAATATTATATTTGAACACAAACAACCATTTTCCTCAATCGTGTTTTTGCACTGCGTATGAGGTGGTGGTAGTGATGCTCGTAGGGTTTTGGGGATTTTAAGTTCAAAAGTTAGCAATCTCCATGGAAATTGCCATTCGGCAAAATCATGGATAATAAGTTTGTTTAGCTGCTGAATTAGTATTACTACCACTATTATAATTTCATGAGATGAAATATTATTGATTTAAATTGTTGCAGCACATTATTTTGTAAAAGGAGAAGTTATGATTATGGGACAAAATTGATTTTTCATGAAGATGCTATGACTGGAAACGATATTTATTTATGAGTTTGGAAATATGTAAGTGTATTGTAATTGAACAATTGAACGAGTTTTGTTGTTTTTGTTGAGTTTAGTTCGGATAAATTCGGTGTAAACTTTACATTGTCTTTCCCTTTAAAGAATGTTGATTTCTGGAATAATTACTTTAAAAGTTATGTCAAAGGTGATACGTAATTGGTTTTATGATGTATGAAATAATGCTCTTTCTTTATTCACGTGGCTTCATTTGCTTGTATTGTACCACAGGTATATCGGGGGCTTGATGTTGGATCTGCAAAGCCTTCCCCAGATGAAAGAAAGGTGTGCGATTGTGACATAACGCATGGTTTACCCAGATTGTTATAAGCTTTTTGTATTTCTTCTTTGCTTGAACAATCATTTTTGGAACCTTTGATTTTAGTTCATTTACTTTTGTTTTGTTTGCTTCTCTTGTTAGGAGGTACCACATCATCTGGTTGACATACTGCACCCATCTGAAGGTGTGTTTTATGTTGGACTGAGTATAATTTTTCCTGTGTCTTCTATGAAGCATGTTCTTTGATCTGGACACCAAATACTCCTGCTAATGTCTAAAATATAGCACACTGAGATGCTACATAACAAATGAAATGAAATATAGGAAACATTAGAGCATAACAAAATATCTATATTAATAAACAATATTTATTTATTCTAGTATGTTTACCTTTCGTCCATGGTGATGACCCTCACAAGAGATTATTGGGATACATTAATTTATTTTGCAATATAAGCACTTAATCTCTTTACAAAAAAGTCCCAAAGTGAGATGCATTACACCTTACCACAAAGGTATATTCAACTTTTCAAATCAGCATGTTATGTTTTGTAATTTTTCTATGATAATGACTCTAACCAAACAAAATTTGAGAAATGTTTTAAATATTTTAAATTGACTTTTCTAAAAGTTAAAATATGATTTTTCTAAACACTTTTGTCTCCATTCATAGTGAGGTGTTGACTCCAGTGTTTGAGAAGACAATATATTTTTAATTGAAGCTATTGAGATTTGTCTGAAAATGTGTTCAACACGTGACACTTCATATATGGGAGGTGTTTGTGCTGCATAGCTCATGTTGATTTTTGTTATTGAAACTTTGAAGGACTTCTATTTTGACTAATTAAAACTAATCATTATTTATCAGACTATTCTGCTGGGCAGTTTTTTGAGGATGCAAGGCAAGCTACAAGATGTATTCTTGACAATGGCCGTGTTCCCATAGTTGTTGGAGGCACTGGATTGTATTTAAGATGGTATGTCTTTTACCTATTTTGTTGATGTTAACTACTTTTTACTCCTTATTGAATTCTCTAATTGTTGCATAGTGGTGGTTGTATTATATATCTGTAAACTTCTGTCAAATGGAGGAAGCGGTATGGGCATTCACTGTATGGATTGTCAATGTTATATCTCATTGTTATTGAGTTTATTTTCTATATGTAGCTGTTGATGCGCTAATGCGGGACACTATACCTGAGTTATGTTTGAATTTTTAAATATAAGGTTCATATATGGAAAGCCAGATGTACCTAAATCTTTTTCAGTGATTACATCTGAAGTAAATCAAGAATTAGCTGAACTACAGAGGAATGAAGACTGGGATACAGCTGTACAGTTGGTGGTAAAAGCAGGAGACCCAAAGGCTCAATTTCTAGCAGTGAATGATTGGTATCGACTACGGCGTAGCCTAGAGATTATTAAGGTATACTTGCCAAGTTAAGGATAGTCTCATGCAACTCTAAATTCTATCCTGGCTACTAATCTTATCGAAAGATTGAAGAAAACTCTCTTTCATATGCTGCACATGTGTGATGATATTGAATACCAACCACAGTGAAAATATCCATTTTTTTTGGAGTAAAATGGTTGTTATGCGATTATCTCTTTTAAATGAACTACATTGTATTCGACTGATTATGTACTTGCCTGTATGTTTCTGTGGATATATATGTCAAATTCATGATTTCCATGGTTTACTGAATTGTGTGAAATATGTTTATGAATTCACCATTTATGTATATTTCTTTCGAATGGCAGTCTAGTGGATCACCTCCTTCTGCATTTCGGGTACCATATGATTCTTTCAGGGAACAGGGTGAATGTAGTGTTGCTGATGATTCTGAGATATCTGATATGAACACGTACGGTGATGGAATGGAAGAAACCAGCTCATCAGAGTTAGACTATGAGTTTATGTGCTTTTTCCTTTCTAGTCATAGACTTAACCTCTATAGATCAATTGATTATCGGTGTGAAGATATGCTTTTAGGTATACCCCGAACAGGAAAACACTCAATTAGTATATGAATCCCCTACATTTTGTAGAGCATTCTTCTCTACCTGTATGCATGCATGGGCACAGTGCATACCTTGCTGTTATAACAATACATGCAAGCTCTCTGTCAATAATATATGAATATTTGATTGCAACAAGTCTCTTACTCTTCAACTGCAGGAAGGGATGGGATTTTGTCTGAGGCTCAGTGGCTTCTTGATACGGGTCTTCATCCAAACTCCAATTCTGCAACTAAAGCAATTGGTTACAGACAAGTATATCTTACATTTTCTCTATCACATTTTAATGTTACCATCTTAAAATTTCAAATGATGAAATATATTTGTATACTGTGTACCTCAAGAAGTTCTTTATACAATGAAACAGTGTTGGTTGAAATTGAAGTAGAATATGACTCCAACTTTCTCTTTTTTAATGGCGTGTTTAATATAAAATTACAGTACTATATTAAGCATTAATGATGTAAAGTAGTTGATGGCCCATAGAACATGTGTATTATGTTGATCATTTTATTTTCTACTGAAATAGTTGTGATGAATTTATTCATTTTGTATACGTGATTCACCAATTTAAGGCCATGGAGTACTTACAAAGATGCAGAGAGCAAGGGGGTCAGAGTTCTGCTGCAGAGTTTTACAAATTCTTGTTTGAATTTCAAAAAGCATCACGGTAATGCATTTTGTTGTTTTATAAGATAAAAGTAGCATAGTACTTTAGTTTTTCTTTTCAGTTAAAATATTCTTTATATATTAAAAATTAATTCTTTTCCTTAGATTTTGGATTGAGTAAATCTTTGTTCACTGAATGTTTCTACTGTTAAAATATTACAGCTTTGTTGTTATAAAATTTAATTAAATGAGAAATTTAGAATACAGACTAAAGAACATGCTCTTTCATTGTGTTTGAGAACTTTTAAGACCATGCGAGGATCCTCTATCTCTTTCTCGTGTCTAATAACCATTTGAGATTACTTGGACCAACAAGTGAAATGTGCAAGAGGAAGCACTGCTTCAATTCTGAATGCTGCCTCTTCTAGGAATTTTTCCATGCTAGTTCATTCCAAATCTCTATTGGTAAAATTCTCCAAAACTTTGTTTGGGCTTTTCTGTTAATGTTGGTTATGTAGTTGTTTTCTTAAACGGTATCACTATTACTTTAGGCTGCCTTCACATACTAAAAAAATAAATGTATATAAAGAAGAAAAGAAAAGTGCTACTATGATAAGTTATTCTCCAGTTCAAACGGGCAAGATATAAATATGTGAGCTTGACTTATCTTTTCTCTTGCCATTGAATTCAAGGGTAATGTTTTCATGTATAGTGTAGTGACAAGGTGCTGAATTGATCGCATAGAACATATATCCCTATCCCAGGATGATCTCTTTTATGTTTTAATTCCAAAGTTAGCACTAGGGGTTTGTATAATTAAATGTCAAGTTCAACAACATGCACAGTGGATGTTATACCATAGTACCAATGATATTAACTAAAAAGATGTTCAGCTTAAAATAAGTTCAGTAACAAAACCCAATTATGATTCATGAGTTTTCAATCTTTTGTAGTATCTAAATCAGATAACAATTTTTGAGCAAGTTGTTTGTTTGCTTATTTTGATGTTCTACTTGCTTGTCCTGTTTCGAAAACTGGTGTATGCTGTTAATTAATATTCTGTACACTTGACTGTTTTAATAAAGATTTCCTTGGTCTGCTTCAATCTATCATATGCCAAGAATGGTGGCTTGTGCTTTCACATCTTGTTTATGTCGAAANCGTTTAGCGGTATAATACTGGTACCCAACGGTATAGAGTTAAAATGCTCTCAAGCTTGGACAATGAACTGACACTAAGTTCTAACTTGCGATTGCTCAACACTATATCATATATCATATAATTTTTTTGTGAATTGTGAAAATGAAACTTGTTCAAATTGTCCAATTGGTATTCCCTTCTTAGTACTTGGGTCAAAAACAATTTTTAAATGTCAAAACACATACCAAATAACTCAAATGATCAAATCCCCATTTGTCAAATCAACATAAACACAACCAAGAAATTCAACTAGGTAGCATCGAAAATAAACCAAAATGAGCATATTAAACTTATCATATGACTCAATCATGCAAATAACAAATCTCAAGATATCTATAATTTAAAAGCGATGAAATTGATTTTCCTTACTTGACCAATAGCTCATAAGATCATAACTAGCCAAACTCTTTCTAACTTGCACATACTCTATCTACACATAAAAACATAACAAGGATGATCATGATATACTATTATGATCATTGATCAACATAGACTCAGAAAGATGACTAAAAGGATTATGCAAGTGAAAAAAAGCTCACATACAACAAATAGCATAAAAGATCAATAAAATATAAAAATAGAGAAACTAATAAATCCAAATTGAAAAGTTCATATCAAAGTTCAATCCTACAATCTCGATTTAATCAGACAAATAGAAAGAAAGAACCATTAGAAAGAAGTTAGAGAATTAAAAAAAATAGTTTATTGAAACGATGTGTTTTAAAATAATGAAATTCGTTCATAATAAAACTATTTATATTAAAATATTTTAATATTAAAATAATCGAGTCTCAAACCACTTGAAATGTCATTTTTTTAGATTTTTACACATAAAATAGAAAAAAATGTTATATATATGAATACAATATTTATATTGTGATTCATTATTTAAAGATATAATTGATTGAAACAAATTTCTTTGTATCTGTTCATTAACACACTATTTTTGTTTTATATTATTTTTGTTTTATATTATTTTTGTTTTAATTGCTCTTCTTTATCTTATTTTTGCATTTTCCCTTGCTTTTCCTTGTGAGAAAAGGCTCAATTTGGTTGTTTTGTTTGGATTTAACGTTTTAGCTATTGCACATTCATTTGTGTGATGAGTAGGGCTAGTCTTTTTGAATTCTGATTGTGACTCCAAAAGTACAGAAAATGAGCAAATCCTGTTACTAGGAACGTTAGAACAAATTAATTTTCCTTTAAACACGGATCCATTGCTATAGGGTTTTGGAAGTTTCCTACTTCTTTCAGTAATCAAACACATTGACCAAAATATTGGCTTAAGTGGTAGTCTAAGTGTTTACTAAATTTTATGTCATCCTAAAATGTCAACTTGCGTTCCCATTTTCATCATTTATTCATTATCATTAATGTTATTTAAATAACACTGAAATAGAATCTCCAGACAAGGTCTTACACAAAATTTATAGTCTATACGTGATGATCCGAGTTTTCCTCAATGATACAAAACAAGAGAAAAAGCTAATGGAACAAATTGTACTACATATATGTATATACCGACACGTCTTTGTAGACTGAATTCAAAGTTATTGTTTTTCATTAAGTTGGCTTAAGATAGTCTGTAAGTAACAACTGGTAATTTGATTTTCTACAAACACCACTATTAAATAAATAGTTTCACTGTTTTATTTTATTCGATAAAGATACAGCAAATATGAATGTCGTAGAAATAAATAGTTTCAGTGTCTTTTAAAGGAGGTAGCAAAATTTATATCTTATTTTTTTAAATGTGGTACTTAGAAGAGTTCATATTTTTACTAAATTTTTTGGTATTGTCTTTTGATATTTTAATATTTTTTAATATTTTAAAATATGAAAATCAATATTATAGATATATTTTGAATTTACAGCGGAATAGGGATACGACAGAAAAATTCAATAGAAAATCTAAATTTTACTCAGACACGTCCCTTGTGTTTAGCATGCTCAGCCATTATTAAGAAAACAAATTAAGTTGACTATGCCAAAGGGTTTTGATTCAATTATTGAAATTTTTGCTGAGAAAAATGAAGTTGACTAAGGCGAAGAGTGCAGGAGCACGAGCAGGATTTCCCTATTCAATTATTAAATTCTGCTGATGAGCAGTGTAGCAGCATTCTTTTATTTTGTAATTAGAACTTGGAATAAATAAAAAGTTTTAAGAAAGGAACAGGATGGCGAGATTCAGTAAACAGATCAAGTTGACATTATAAATACCCATGTCAGGTCGATAACTCTCATGCATGCAGGCATCGCGCATCTCTGAACTTTCTCTTTCCCTCTCTTCCTAAACCACAATGGCTGGAATCTGGTTCACGCCGCTAACGCTGCTGTTACTACTCGCATTTTCCTCCGCAGTTCGCTCGTGTTCGCCGTCGGACCTGGCCGCGCTGCTACACTTCAAATCCGCTCTCCATGAATCTCGCAACGGAATATTCAACTCCTGGACCGGCACCGACTGCTGCGGCAACTGGCTCGGCGTCTCCTGCGACCGCGACTCTCGCCGCGTCGCCGAAATCAGCCTCCGCGCCGGTCCAGTCTACACCACGTTCGAGAAGCCTTACCGTCCGGATTACATGTCCGGTTACATATCGCCGGAGATTTGCAAGCTCACTCACCTCTCCACCCTCATCATCAGCGACTGGCAGGGAATCTCCGGCGAGATCCCGCGCTGCATCTCCTCGCTCTCCTTCCTCCGCATCATCGACCTCACCGGAAACCGCATTTCTGGCACTCTCCCAGCAGACATCGGGAAGCTTCGGTATCTGAGCCTCCTAAGCGCCGCCGATAACCTAATCACCGGCGAAATCCCGGCGACGTTGACGAGCTTGACTGGTTTGACGCATCTGGACCTTCGTAACAACAAGATCAGCGGGCCCATTCCGCAGAACATGGGCCAGCTTCAGATGTTGAGTCGGGCCTTTTTAAGCGGAAACCAAATAACCGGGTCAATCCCGGGCTCAATCTGTCATATATACCGTCTGGTGGATCTTGATCTGTCAAATAACCATTTATCCGGGCCGATTCCTGAAAGTTTGGGCCGGATGTCGGTTCTGTCAACGTTGAAGTTGGATAATAACAGGCTTTCGGGAAGCATACCAGGGAGGCTGTTGGCGTCGGGTATTAACGAGCTGAACTTGAGCCACAACATGTTAGAGGGTATCATACCTGACGCCTTTGGGGCTTCATGCTATTTCACGTTACTGGACTTATCGTATAATAACCTCAAAGGGCCAATACCGAAATCTATGTCTTCTGCTTCGTACGTTGGGTATGTGGACTTTAGCCATAACCACCTCTGCGGCCCAATTCCTAACTCCTACGGTAACACCGATGCCTCCTCATTCGCTTACAACGATTGCCTCTGTGGAAAGCCACTCAAAGCTTGTTAATTACTGCTATCGACTTCCCACACTCATTCACATGCACCCATCTCCATTCTTAACTGTGTCACTTTATTTCGTTCTGTAAAATAAAGCAGAAGGCTCCCATGTTTAATTAGAAGTGATTATTAACTCTAATTTTGGATTTCATTTCCATTTAGTTGCGTTTTTGTGTATGGTTTTTAGATTGAAAAGGTGATTTGGGGAATTTATTATATTCTGTTATCATGTGTGCAAAACGAATCACACTGAGGTTGACCATTCTATTTAGAGAGTAGCAGAGTTATTAATTCTGAACAATGGAATGCAGTTGAATTTAAATGCATGTTCGAAAATTTAATTTGGAGACAGTACACGTGAAGTAGCAGTGGCCACATGAATGAATGAATTTAGCTGTTAAAATGCATTTTGGAGACTTTCCAAACTTTTTTATCATTCAAATCCAAGTGTAAGAATGCAGAATAATAATCAAATAACAAACGAGTGTACTACTTTCAGTATTGCACACATGAAAAGTAACACAAGCATGTGTTCT